GGCTAGTAGTTGAAGCACGTGACTGTTCATCCATGGGCGGCTGATAAGCAAGTTACTTCACCCAGTATGTACATACACACTGCCTTTGTTTGAGATAACGAAACTTCTGATCGACTGCTCGCTGCCTAGTGGTTGTGTTCAAACTACAAGCCGAGAACTCGTAGCATCTTGGAATTTCCTGATGGACCCACCAATTATCATAAATTTTGAGACTTGCAGGGCGGGCTTTTAGCTATTCTTTCAAGAAATGGGCACTGTGTTAGGTATGCCTCATCGGGCAGTCATTAATGGGATGCAAGCCAATGGAGCAAGTAGACAAAAGTTCTCCAAAAAGTCAACCTTTGGTACGTTTGTTTTAAGTTCCATCAGTGGATTCTTCAAATGAATTTTAACCCACCAGTTGAATTAAATGTGAAGCACTTGGTGTTGCTGCACAGTGACGCCATAGGGTGTGCTAAACTTTTGACCAGTCAACGCATTGCATAAACAAAAATAGCGCCATCGATTACAATGCGATCTATCAACCAACAACCGGTTAAAGAAACTAACAGCGCATAGCAAACCATATAGTACAGACTCATATATATATGTTTATATTCACATGACATGACAGATCGCATTGTAAGGTTACAAAAACAATGTCAAAAGGAGCTCTTCTGGCCCTGTTTGAAAAGCTTGATGTGAACTGGCAAGATAAGATAACACAGGAGGAATTGCACAAAGGGATGCTCGAGCTTGGCGCTACGGAAGCAGATGTTGAGGTAAGCGGTTGCGTTTTATCTCACTAACTTGGACTGATTGGTATGTTTTTCTGAAAGTAAAACTGTCGAAACATCTACTCCCTTCTGGGCTAGATTGGCTTAAGATTTCGGTTAGTTTGCTTAAGTCACTGCGGTTTATTATTAAGGTAGCTGGTTCCTATATTCAAATAATGTGCAAAAATATGGACAAAGAGCTACCATAGCGTCTTCATTTTGGCAGCAACTTTGGCGTTAAGTAGATGTGTTCAATTGAAAAGGGGAAGGAAAAACCTTTCGGAAATTCTGGTTTGTAGTAAGCATGTTCAACCACATATCACACTGAAGTTCCAACAGTAAGATATGAAGTGACGGAACAGTCATGAAACTTTAGGTTGTTGATGGTTGTTGTTTGACAATAGTTGTTGATATTGTCCTTGCGCAAGCATGTAAATAAATTTTCGTCGTTTTTAAGCAAAACAACGATCACATACGATGAGAAAGAAAAGATGGAAATGATTGGATTAAGAGTCAACGTTTTTTTCTAATTTGATAAAGATTACTACTTGTTTTCTCAAAAATTGAGCAGGCTGAATGTGCCTCCCCAATAAAGTTTCGTACAACGAAGGCAGCTGTCTAAAACTGCCAGTTTTTAGCGTGGGTTATTTTTAGTAATGTAGCAACAAAAACCAACCAATGTTTAAAATACCATTAGCAATAAATGTGGCAACTTCCGTTGTTAACTATTGGCTGCTTGGCCTATAGTCAATGGAGTGAATTAAATCTACATTAAATCCTACCTAAGCTGCGGCTCGCAGGCTGGTCGTACCGGACAATTTTGGCCACCTGCTTCTATCACATGAACCTTCAGGTTTTCTTTCTTCGCTTAATATTTATCCTCCTAAACTTGATTATTTATGGACATTCAAACCCAACTGTCAAACTGTCATATGTCTTCGTGTGTTTAGGGGCTCAAATGCGCAGGTTATGCATGCTATATGACAATGGTGCTCTTGATTCATTATTTCCCCATACATGAATCATAATCGTCTTGGTGCCTTAAACTTGTCACAAGAAAGCAACTCCACCATCCGTTTGGGAGTGAAAATTTTTCAGCAGTTATAAGGTTAAATATTTTGGCATTCTCAAGTCATTCAGTAACACAAGAGTTTGGGTAGACCCCGATTCTGGAGTCTTGCTACTCATTATGCGTATGGCACACGTTGAACTGTGCGCCAATAGTGTATTTTTCCCCATCTATGGGCTTCCCCACCAACTAGAATCTTTTTTGAATTTATACCGCAAAACTTGGTTTTATAGGTGTTCAAAAAATCTGACGCATCATGGAAGTCGAACAGATGGGTTACAAAGTATATTGCTAGGTAAATTCGTTAATACCTTCAATGTCGGACAATTCGTTCCTAAAACTAGTCTTTTCAGATTGCAGAACTTCATAAAACAGCATAATCTCTGAGGAAACTACTCACAAGTTTGCTGAAACTCTTCGGACAGCCCACGACCGGTTTCGTTCTTCTTGGGGCTCATCAGGTAGGCGCAGTCCCCGAGTTTCCGTCAACCTTATGATTTAATTGAACCCAAATTGCTGTGTTTTCGAGAAATACACTCATTTGAAAATAAATTTGGTTTTCACGGGAGACTCAATTGAATCTCGCGTTTATGTTGTCCTCCAGCTGGAAAACCAAATTGATCTGCATATTAGTGCATTTCTCGAAAAGCATAATCACTGCTTTTGAAAATATCTCCTTTAGCAAGGACGTCCAGTATTCACTTAGAAATGTACTAGTTCCAATACAAACTAAGTAACAAACTCGTCGGTTGAAAACGCAACCAAGAAGCAGTTCCAAAAACAACTAAAGACGATAAATCTCAGTTTTCTAGCGATACTAACGCTCATTACCGCGTTACAAAGTTAAGGATATAACCAGTGATCTAGATCACTGGACCTGTTGTCCGGTTTTAAAGTAAAAAATGTACCGCAATCTATAATATCTTTTTTGATATCAGCTGGGTCCTCAGTGACATTCTTACATACAATATTTGTTCCAGTCACTAATGTCCTTCCTCGACATGGATGATGACGGTTTAATTTCGAAAAACGAATATCATGTTGCGCTGTGCATGTCGCTTGACCCTGAGATAGAGTAAGTGCAATCTGTGAAAATTTACTACGTCGTGAATATAAATTATGTAAGATAGTCCTATAATAAAATTCAACTTGGAGACCTTGGAATCGTAGCAGGGAGAATGTTTACCCTTTTCTCCCCTTAAAAGCAAAGCTGAGAATTCAAAGTAAAAAAAGCGTAGCTGAGAATGCCAAGTAAAATGTGCAGTTCAAAAGATTTACAACAAAAGTTTTTGGATTAATATTTTCACTAGAATATTGATCAAGTCATTGCTGTCGGTGAACACTCTCTTTGGTACTCTGTGGCCGGACTAAAGGCTCCGTGTAAAACAGGAAAACGAGTCGCCAACTCATTGGTGAGGGGCACCGAATAATTGTACTAGACTTGTCTGAATAGCCTTAAAACTTGTGTTTTACTTTTTTGTTCACCACGCATATGATAGCCATATGTACTGATATAGAATAACTTTCGTACATCACCACAGAGCATCCATTGTGACAGTCAGCTGAAAAGTGAAGTGCCACACCAGAAGGTGCAAACTTAGCAAGATAGCTAGATAACTTGTATGAAAATTTTGTTGCCAAATAAAATCATTCATTGGTTAGTTAATGAACCAGACAAAAATACTTTTCTAGAATCAGATATGTGGGTGACTGTCTTTATATGAGACTGTTCTGTTAATTCCATCTTTTTTTAGCTGCATTAGGTCCCGTTATTCACCTCCTCAGTGTCTTTCAGTCAAGTCTAGGAACTTAAAAACGTTTGACAACTTGGTGATCTGCCAGGAAAAACGCTTCCTGTTTATGGCTAGATGGTGCTTGTTGAGCAGCATCAATTAAGTAGGCAAACTGTTCAGTAGACGGTTCTACTTTATTGTTTTCTAATTTTTCAGTCACAAACTAGAATTTTCTAAATTATCACCACTTTCCAAAGCTACATTCGAAGAATGGCAGGACTTTCACCTTTCGATAGTGATAAAATACAGTGATAGGAAGAGAATACTTATTACTCCAAGGAATATTATTCATAGACGAGCAACAGTTTAAAACTTTTATGGGCTTTCAAGGAATACATTACAGTCTTGAAGGCCTCGTTTACGGTTACATCTTTTAGTAACCTTCTTAGAACATCTTATTTCACTCCCATAGCTTCCTAAAGAGCCACTCGTAAGAGAGTTTTTGCAATACGTTGATCTCCATCTTCCAAGCGTAGGGCAGTGTCCGTTGCCAAATGAGTGATGATCCTCAAACGGTACGACAAACCTGATGCGGCGATGACCTTACATGGACTATTGTTACAAGAATTTCATTGTATATGCAAATTTACTTGGGACAGAGGAAAGGGAATTATTACAACTTTCTGGTTCTGATAAGAAGCCCTGGCTTCTAAAATCGGAGTGCTTTGGCGCCGTTAACTGAGGAACCACTGGCTGCTATAAACGAACATTATATTAGAGGAGTAGAACATTCATTGGTGGACTGGTGTGTTATTGCCTACAATATATACATATGAACAATTTTTACCATAGAGGTGACTCACTGAGATAATTATCAAAACTAATTTCGGTTAGAAACCACGCTTTTCGCAATACTTTCTGCTAAGGAACAGTAGTTTTGTGGTGCACAAGCTTAGCAATTTTCTGACGTTTTAAATTGGCGTACTCAAAATCCCAACAAACCTATGGGGTGAGATCCAAGCCCACAATACGGTTTGGAGTAGTTTGTTCTATTGGTGTGCGGCCACAAAGCGTTCGGTTTTCTGAAGCTGTTTTATCTGATGGAGTTAAGTGAAATGAACTTTCTGCTCGTTCAGTTACGCTATCTGATGACTGGTTTAGTATATTTGCCCTACCAAACGCAACTCCTCGTAAAGGTTTTCGTGGCGTATTTCATAGGTTTGAAGTTCATCACGAATATACATATTCAATCCAATTCATAATGCCTATAAAAATCTAGTTATCTTTGTTTATTTCGTTTTGATATTTCTCAAAACCCCACGCATCTACTATAAAACATGTCTATTTTTCGAAAAGCTGGGACATTGTGTTCGAACAACTTGACTGTGACCGATCTGGAGATATCTCTGTCACGGAGCTCAAACACGTCTTCGATCGTATTGGAATCCCAATTATGACCTCCGGGATCATGCAATGGATTAAACAGCATGATAAAAACAACGACGGAAAACTGGATTACCAAGAGTTTTTATCGTTTGTCGGCACTCAACGAAAATTATCTAGGAAACATAAGTAACCGTTGATTAATGTGTGTCATACCTCCTGCTGTAAAATATTATTGATTTAAATGTAAAGACTATCAACGCCATAACACGTTTGTGAAAGTTTTCCAAGACATAAAATTATACACGGAAACCGATCAATAAACACATCGATATCGACCCAAATGCAACCCTGATGAATGTGACACACAGACAGGCGACTCTGAATCACATGGGAAGTCAAACAACAACAAAAAGTGGATCAAGCAGTTCATGCTTTTTGAATAAAAAGCAGCGAGCGGATCAAATATAAATGATATCTGTCTGTTGCTCATAATGTGAGATAGAACTAAGATATGGCCAACAAAATAAAGGACTTCTGTTTTTGGGTAAATTTTGCGGCATGAAGTTAAAAATAAGTGCTCCACAAACACCAGAGGCATGGTGGAATATTGAGCAGCTAATGGGCAGAATTTCAGCGGACCAACATTTCTTGCTAAAAATGGGGAAAAGTGTTGTAATATAATAAAATAAATGTTATCTAGGCCGACTGGTAAATGTTAACCTGTGTTAATTTTTCTGTAACCACGACTGTGTTGACGGTCATGCTTACAAAGGTCTTGCAGCGACGTGTCTGAAAATATAATCGGAAAGTCTTTAAAACTTGTGACTTATATAAAGCTGCGGATTGCAACTGAACAATCGGTATGCTCTTTTCTTATGCTTAAGCATAACTGCGGTCCCTTCACTGCCTGTAATATTCCGCATACATTTTCATTTTGCTTTAATTAGGGATAAAGCAACATCGCACTTTGCGTTACCGGAATACTACGAAATGGCGCTTATTGTTCAGTGTGCGCATAGTGATGATATGCCCGGGGTATCAACCCGGTGTTTTGGCGAAATGATATTTGAGTATTCCTCTGCACGAAACACACTACCGCCGAAAACAGACAGAGTTGTGCACCACGATAATGCCGACGGCTGTTTATCTCCCAGTAATAATTAAAATTTTAAAACTTAAGCTCCTCCCATAAAATAGGTATATAATATAGGGATTTCGTACTGCAGTTTTGCACTGATAAGTTTTTTACCTTGCTTTTTCTTTACTGCACCAACAACTTAAAAGGACTGAAAAATCATATCACTTTGGCTCGAATTCACGTGTAGTGGATTGCACCAACATAGATAAGTAGTTTCAGTGAATTTTAGGATCATCCCTTCCAGAATAGCCTTTGAGCTGGTTGAAAACTGTTTAGGTTTAATCAACTCATAATTAATCACGGTAAGTTCCTCATTATTCTTCAACTGTGGCGTGTCTGCTGGGTGGCGGTAAATACCTCGGGGTTGCACTTGCGTAATTAATACGGGTAAGAAACTGTGCTGCTTGCCACGGTACGCATTTATGTGCGGTCTTATGTGAATAGAATTTAATTTTACCTCATCCGGACAAGCGTATTATTCCACGAAGCATTCAACCTTACCAAGGTGCTCAGGCAGGCATCAATCCGCGTTTTTGGGATGGGAACAAGCAATTACGCGATGCCGATCTAAGCTTCCTTCACTGTTGCATGCAATTAAATGTAGACGTATAAATGGGAAACTGATATCCAGCTTGGGATGCCACGAGGGCCAACGTGCGACACCATAGATTATATGAACGTTTATGTATTCGGGCGCATTCTGTATCGCCAAGGTGTTACACTGCAATGGTTTTGGACACACCGTGGTACAACTGTCATCGAGAGTTACAGTGAATCAGACAAAATTCTTGGCGTCATATCGGCATCCAGAGAGCTTTTCCCGCTGAGTTGATCAATGTAGAGACGTCTGGCTAACCAGTTATTCTGATCCTTCACTTTGAGGTTGCAAGAGTCGCGAAACCCGGTCCGTTGACGAAGCTCGCTTGGTTGGTCAGCCTCCCGTCAACATCCGTTCCCTCGTGATCGGGATTTTTGGTCAAAGAACTTGAGTGTTTTAAATGTCTTTACCTTATGTTCTAGACACTGTGGGTGTCCACCTACACAACGGCCATGAAATTTGCAGGCTCACACATCGTCATGCCACGTTGGGAGTCGCTCTTTGACACTGGCCTAGTAACCGTTTTTGCCATGTATACAACAGAGCAGAAAGGTAGAAACATAAGATCGCTAATGCCTTCTATCTTTCTCTGGTGTTTCTTTTAACTCTCCTGCTCCCTCCTGCTTATAAAGATCTGGAGTGTGCGTGCATCGGTGAAGCACGACCGCCAGTATCTTCCCCACTACATACGCTTTTCGATTATTTTCGTCCTCCATTCTCCGTGGTTGGCAACGCACAACATTTTGAAGAGGTTGTACTGTGCACACGAGAGGTTTTATATAGACATTTGTCACAGTTCAAAACAAGAAACAAGACCTAGGTGAAGTTACTGGGTTTACTGCGGCCTATTTCTATACCCACTACAACCTACGGCCTGTGGGCGATTCAGCAGCCGCTGCAGCGTGGGTTCCCATTTTTATAGCTCTCATCCCGCAGTTCATAGCCACTTTGTGTTAATATTTTCACGTAAAAAGCGAAATCTAAGGTGACCGGCTATCCACTTCTACGGGGACCGGTCATAGATAAAGTATATATATATATATATATAACTTTCGCTCGCGCCTAATGACTGAGGCTCCAACTTGCAGGAAAAAGCATCTTTTTGACAACTAGCCATTCCACAAGTCACCAAGAATTGCTTTTAAACAGTCGCAATGTATGGAAACTTCCAAGCGGCTGTAGGCTGACTTAATTCATTGAGGTCACTTATGAGTCCTGAATCCGACGTGGGTGCCAAACCTGGGAATAATCGTAAGCTCCTTTCACAACAGTGTTCTAGCAGCTGCCTGCTTATGAATGGGACCAAACTTGAGTGCGGTGAGCTTTCCTGCGTTCCGCAAAGCTCTTCTAATATTGAGCAAAAATGAAACGAAATTAGGAACATTGCCATCAGCCACCAGCGGCCAGGCGGAGCTCTTAGTTGTCGGTCAATCTGAAATAGGCACGTTTACGCACGACACATTCTCTTGTGGCTTAGGCTTCCATTATTCCGAAATATTGGCTTGGCCTTTGGCCGTAGCAAAATCATGCGTTACACAATTAACCGGCCTCACCAAATACCATTTAAAAACGTCGAAAACAAAAGTCGTTTGTCAGCAGGCAAATATGAAAGCCACCATAGTTATAATTCCACAATGCCTCAAACAGCCAGCTGGAATTTTTTTGAATTGTCCCAAAATATCGCTTGCTTAGCGATATTGCGCACCAAACAGCAGTGCTGGAAACGTTATTTACCTTCACAGTTTTACAGGATTGTACGAATGTTGACTCATGGTTCAAGTACCGGCCTGGTTCACCCCAAGATGCAGAGGACATCTTTTCATACAGAATACCCACAAGAAGAAAGTTAATCAAATCCGGTAGAGCTACACTCGTTTTAAGAAGATTCTGGTGCCGAAAACATAAATTAGGTCGGGCAGTTTTGTGCCATGTGTCTTGCTCCAGGCCATTCAGAAAATACGGACTGTGCTTTGAAGGCACTCGTGCATGAATGGGTTATCAGTCAATGTGCCGCGTCCTGTGATAACGGATTCTGGAAACCTTGTCTGTAAGTGACTGTCTGTTTACAGTAGGGTCAAGGTGTGTGGTGGATTCTGGAAACCTTGTCTGTAAGTGACTTTCTGTTTACTGTAGGGTCAAGGTGCGAATTTACTGGTTTAGGTGGGTACAGTTTGCACATCCATACTGACATTCTGGGGTGCATATCGTGTAAAAAGACTCCCATTCAAAAACTCAACAGTCATGCGTTTTATCCCTATTTGCAGGGCTTATATCAAATGTGGCATAACCAAGCCTTTACAATCCACACATTATGAGTAACAATAGAACAGAGGATGAAGACCAGGAGCTATGCCTACTACATAATGCGGAATTGTAAATCGTAGAGAACAAAACAGACGAACAACAAACTCAGCTAGAAACGAGCACTTTGCCAATAAATTCATTCCGGTTGAACAGAAATCAGAATCCGTTGCTGACCGTGAACATTTGAGCTATGGAAAACATAAGCATGATGGATAAATGAAGGTATTTGAAGCACGAGAATTTGCAGTCCGCATCCAGAAATAATGGTTATGGTAAGGCTGAATAAACCCACTGGTTTTGCTGTTGGATGGGAGCTGCATAGGACCAAGTGGGCATCATAAAACTCATCCAAATTATGGATGATCTAAGTTAAGGGGTCGTTATCTCGCACTGACAGTGCTGTGACTCATCTGAAGCACTTGCCATATCTATCGCTTGTCAGAGGCTGAGAGCTCAAAGCGCTTAGGTACAATTTAATTTTCCTGTCATGGCAGATGTTTTACGGCTGTCATTCTTCTCTGGTGTGTATTTTCCCACTTTTGACGTATATTAAAGTCTTTGGTCATGTAATGCCAAAAGACTTATGCTACTTGTGACAAGAATGGGCTGAATCTTCTGCAGGTTTTTGGCGCTTTTGAAATTTTGACTAGAAGAAAGTTGTTATTTTGGATGCAGTCTTCGGAGATCTCAATAATGTTTGAACATTCAGGATGAAAGTCCTGCCTACTATAGCCCACAAGATCAAAGAATTATGCAGGCCCCACCATCACGTGTACGTTATTCAAAACATTTAGCTGCGAAATATAATGAGGGTTGTGGATAACCTTCAATATTTTCAGTGTAGGTATACAATTATTTGACCCTGTGGCAGTCAGTGGTGTACCGCACGTGTTATTTTTTTTAAATATTTTCATTTGTGGGTTGCCTGCCCTTAGGTTTGATCTGTTTAAAGGATATTTTTTGGTCGCAATTCAAAACCTTGGTGTCCATAGTAAACCACTTATATTTGAACATTCGTACTTCGAATTGTGGGCAAACAAGCTCATGGACAGAACACGCCACGGACACCGTAATTTAGGCACAAAAATGGTTGTCTTGGGCTGCTTTTAGACGTGTTAGTCACCTTTACAGGAGGGGAAATATTTGACATCTAAGGAAGTAAGTTGCGGTGAACGAGCACAGGTTTCAAATTTAAAGACGCTTTACACTATTGGATTGACTGCTTTTCGTTAACAAGATGACGAATTTCGTTGTAGGTCAAGTGAAGCGTGTTGGCTTGGGGAGGTTCAAGCGGCAACAGTGCAATTCTGGTCTCCAACAAACCTTTTCCCAAAACTACAGAAAATAAATAAATCAATTAATAGACACCCTGTAACCACATCGTCCACCACACACGGTGTCCGAGATCTATAAGCTAGGGCCTCAAATCATTGCGTAATAAGCGAAGCTCAGTTACCCGTCAGCCTCCTCGCTCGCGCTTACAGC